TTATATAATAATTATATTATTAATATTAATATTTTATTTTTTATTAAAAAATTAATACTTTTTTTTTATGTTCGCAGGCAAATTTACCTGCTCTACAGTTTAAGGGATATTATATTTAACAATAATATACAATTTATAATATTTATTGAAATAAAATGATTATTTATAAAAGAATTATAAATTAAAAAAATATAAATATTCTTTAATTAAAATATATATTTTATTTGATTATTTTTTTAATAAAAAAATTATTATATCAAATATTTATTATTTTAAAACTATTATTAATATTTTAAAAGATTATAACTTTAATAAAACTATTAAAAATATAAATAAAACAATATAATAAAAAGGTGATGATAATTTTATTTGATTACAAATGTAGGTATAATTTTAATTTTTAAATTTTATAATTTATATTATTAAAAAATTAAAAAAAAAAATAATAGATTAATATTAATCATAAAATTTTATTTTTATATTATTTTCTTTTTTAAAAAAATATTTATTATTATTTTTCTTTCTTAGTAAATAGACTTTAAATATTTAGTATTATTCTTAAAAAAAGTAAGTTTATCTTATTTCATAATATATTTATTTTATATTATAAAAATAATTTTTTAATAAAAAAAGAGAAGAATGAAAAATTGTCTAAATATAGTTACAATTTAGATTAATAAACATTATTAGTCTTGATGATTTTCAAATTTTAGCAAATTTTAGTGTTGATCAAACGTTTAACATTTCAATCGATATTAGTGGTCGAACACAGATGACCATTTTTCCGATTTGTCGCAGGTTTTGGGGGAGATCCTTGATTTCATTGAGTGCTTACTTTTTTCGGAAAAATATGCTTTTTATTGCACAGAAAGCTAAATGATGTAATCTAGCATATACATACGTTATAAAAAAAACCCTTTTTTTTTTAATAATTATAAAAAATGGCTTCTCCTCATAGATCGAAATTAAAAATGCCTCGAGTTAAACGAGCACAATCTTCAACCACTCTCCAATTTGCGCCTCCAAATTGGTTAACTAACCTTTTTGAACAAAGTTCAAGTAGTTTTGCGTTTTCTCGAGATTTATCCGATGGGAATTTGAAACAATCATTTTCTCGTATTTTAATTTCTATTTCAAATGTACCTTACCTTTCTTCCAAATTACTGTTCATATTTTTATGTGCTGGTTTGGGTGCAACTTTGCCGTATCTTCCTATTTTTTATGATTCCTTAAAGTTGAGCCCCTCAGAGATTGGTATTGTTTTCTCTGTGGCCCCATTTATTTCCGCTCTAAGTTGTCCTCTTTGGACAGGCCTGGCTGATCGATTTCAAGCACATAGATCAATTATTGTTACAATTTATACATTGGCCACAGTTGGAGTTCTCTCGCAAGTACTTTTGCCTAGACCAGTTATCACAACAAATAATGATAATTTGCACGCTTTTTTAGTCGTATGCGTTTTTATTGTCGCACTATGGTTTGCTTTCTTCGGGTTTCCTGTTAATGCTTTGGTTGATAGTGGTGTATTGAAGATTTTGGGTGATAAAAAAGAGCTTTATGGTAAGTTTCTTAATATATACTGAAATCGAATCATGAATATTTTTTTTAAGCATTTATTCCATTATAGGACAACAAAGATATTGGGGATCCATTGCATATGGTTTCAGCACTTTTTGTGTTGGTATTCTCTTGGAAAAATTCGATAACGTAAATGTTATCTTTTATTACTTTTTTGTCACTGCTATTTCTTTTCTCATCGTCGTCATTACTACCGATTTCAATCCAACTTCTGAAGAAATTGAAATAATACCGACACGTCTTAAAAATAAATCTTTTAAACCTTTAATTGATCTCGATGATGATAATAATGTCGCTACAAGTTCAATAGGAGACATTAATAAACTTACTCATGATAATTCATCTGCAATTGATATTTCTTCGAATATTGAAGAGTCCGATGGTGAAGATTCTTCTGCAGATGAGGATGATGATGACGGAATTCCAGTACCTGATTTAGACATTTTGGCCTTTCCTCCTACTACACCTAATATACCAACTTCTTCACTTTCTGATAATCCTTCCTCAGCAATGAAGACTTTATTTACAAACCCATCTGTTGTAACTTTATTATCTGTTATGTTATTAATGGGGATTGCACTTTCTATGAGTAATGCATTCTTATTCTTGTTCCTTAAAAATGATTTGAAAGCGAGTTCAACTATCCTTGGATTAACAGGGCCAGTTAGTGCTATAACAGAATTATTATTCTTTTTCTATTCCAAAGAGGTAAGAAACATATTCAAATTTATATGATAAAAACATCGTTAAAATATAATAAATTTTAAATTGATTTCCTTCATTATTAGTTAATTTCACAATTTGGAATAAGTTCATTGATATTACTCGCTCATGTCGTAACAATTGTACGTTGCATAACGTACATGTTTTTGCAACCTAATTTCTTCTCTCACGTTGTTGCGCTCATTGTGCAATTATTAAATGGAATTGGATTTTCATCATTATGGGTTAGTGGAGTGACTCATATCGCAAATCATGCACCACCAAATCTTGTATCATTTTCACAAGGAATTATGACAGCATTTTATGCTGGTATTGGTACAGGATTTGGTAGTTTAATTGGTGGATTATTGTTTGGTAGTTCAGGAGGACCAAGATTAATGTTTGGAGTTGTTATCACAATAAGCATAATAAGTATGCTGTTATATTCATGGGGAGAAAATGGATTTAAATTTTTCAATGGATTTAATAAAAGAAGTAAAAATCATTTTAGATCACCATGGCAAGGTATTCATCATGGTCAAACCACTATTGAAAGAACAAGAAGTATTCTTTCCGTTGAAACTATACCAAGATCTGCTAATTCTAAAAAGGGTAGATATGAATTAATTCCTATGGATGATGATGATGATGAACAATACCATTATGGTGTATTTGGTGATAGTAGAAAGTAGTTAAAAAAAAATTAAAAATTATATGTAAATAAATATCTTTTTAGATAAATTTATTAAAAGAAAAAGAGAAAAAGAAAAAAGTTTTTAATTAATATTATTAATGTTGACATAACCAATTAAATAGTCTTAATAAAAAAAGTATTTTATGATACCAATATTTTTATTTACTAATTATAAAAAAGTCAATCCAATCGATTTCTACATAAATTTGAATATAAATAAACTTAAACTAATAAATATGAATTACAAATATTTAGAGGAAGCGCGTCTTTTAAATCAATAAGGAATAACCTTAAAATAATTAATAGTATATTGATATTATTCATTATCTTCAAATTCAGAATCAGGTCCTTCCATTATAATTTCAGGTATTTCCATATCATCATCAGAATCATCTTTAAACATTCTAAAAGATTTAAAAACATTATCATGACCCTTAGCTATTTCTTTTTCTATGTCAACAGGAGAAAGAGAACGCATTCTTTTCTTTTGATTTTCTATCATTTCTGAGGAAGTAGATTGTTCATGAATATTAATTCGGTTACTTCGATTACCTATAAGCATATTATCACTTTTATTGACTACTTCCAATATACTATTATCATCGAAAAAATTCTTATTCGCATTTTTATCAACATCAACGTTTAACTTGTTAATCATACTTTCCACTATATTTGAACTTGTTTCTGTTGTAACAATATCAAAAGATATTTGTGGTGATTGATCTATAACCATCATCTTATTATTATCGTCTTCTTTGTCCTCCTTTTCACTTTCGGTTTCTGTATAGGATTGCTGTAATATATTTTCCATGGCAGTATGATGATGTTGTTGTTGTTGTTGTTGTTGTTGTTGTTGTTGTTGTTGAATCAGTGTGTTGACAGAGGATCGTTCAAGAGGTGGTAAACGACTATGAAATATTAAGTCACATATTGATAATGCATGAGAGCAAAATGATCGTAACTATATCAAAATTTTTTTTTTTTTAAAAAAAAAGTTAATAAAAAGAAAAATATATATTTATATCTAAAAAAAAAAAGATATATCAATAAATACCTGATTTGATCGAGAATTTAAACCGGCAGTAAATATTTTCAAAGCATATGGCAATACAGTAGGTTGATACTCCGAAGGAGAAATTACAGAATGTAATAAACATTCATATAGTTTCATATTTACATTGTCTTCACTGTTGTTTGAGCTATTTTTATTGTTTTGTGAAAGAATCCTTAGTAATAGGATATTATCTAACGATGACTTTGTATTTGATGGCATTGAAGATCCACATGTTTTCAATAAACTCTTCAAAACTTATATCATAATAATTATAATTGTTAATAAGTAAATTGAGAAATGAAAAGGAGGAAAAAAGAAATACATACCTTCTAATGAAGCGTATTGTACGTCTACGTTCGTTTGCGAGCATGTTAATCCACTCGAATTAACAAATACATCAGAATTTGTTATTTGTGATGATGATGATTTCTTCTTACCTGATTTCTTTTGCTGTTTCAGAAATAAATTAATTAAACACATTAAATAAATTGAACAATATAGAAAGTTAGAAATATTAACCTTGTTGTTAGTATGATCGGTAGTTTCAACGCTAATTGAGATATCATACGGAGATTTTTGTATGATCTTTATATCATCAATTATAAAGGATAATAATGTCGAGGATATAAGATTGGTTAAACTGATTCCGTATTTTTGTATACAAAGATCTATTAAATTATACGTTGACACTCTAAGTAACCTAATAAAAATGTACAAAGAAAGCGGGAATTATTATTAATGAAAACGTTGGTATTTAAAGATAAGTGATTCGTACCAACTTGATTTTGAGTTGTTGAGAAGTTTAAGCAGGATAGAAGAAATCACACGTAAATGAATTATCAAGTGTTCGCCAACGCTAAAATTATATGATATTATAATACGTTAAATAAATGTGCAAGGAAACTTAAATACTTAGAGACTTAAATACTTAGAGTTAGATATACTGGTTTACCTTAATACTACAGCACAAAGAATTTTATTACAATGCATGAATAATGATGGAATACCTAACAATAATACATAGTACTCATGTTTATCTTTACTCTCTGTAACCTATTATTAAAAAAAATTAATTATAAAAAAAATCTTTTCTTTGAATAATTTTCAATTATTAATAGTAATTAATACTTGCAAATGAACCTTCATAAATATTATAAACTCTACATAACAAATCTAGAACCTGGTTAACAGGAAATTGTACAGGTAAAGAAGTTGGTAGACTACAAATAAAAGAAATAATATAAATAAATATATATATAATTTCATCAAAATTTTAGGAAAGGAATGAAATGTTACCTTATAAGAGAAATTAAACATTCACTTAAACAATGAAATTTTGAGAACAACATTGGAAATGCGATAATATAATTTTCTGATGCTTGAGGCATCTCAAATCCCGCCAGTTTTTTTGACGCGTCCTTTTCTGACAAAAAACAAAAATTTTTAAAAAAAATTAAAATCATTCAAATTTTTTTTCAATGATATTAAAAGTAAAATAAATACCTTCATCGATGGTATCAAACAATTTATCCAAAATATTATTCAAAGATCCAACAACTTTAAGTAAATTTAATTTCCAATAATGCGTATTATTATTCATTTTACCACCAAAATTAATGATATAAGAAAAACATTTAACAGCCATTTTGGATAATTCTGATTCATAATCATGAGTACCATCTAATAATATACTTAAACATAATTTTTGAGATGGTTCATTAACAGGACGAAATATTGATGGGAAATTTTTAACTGAAAGTGATAATGCACTAAATATTGTAGGTAATAGTCTCTTATTTAATCCTGATAACTTTATTAAAAACGTATTGAATCTTGGTAATTGTTGTGTTGTAATTTCTCTCTGTAATTCTGGTTTGTTTTGTGTTTTATTAAATAATTCCGTTAATGTTGTTATTATTTCTTTTAAAACAAGTGTTGGTTCTGGTTTCTAATTTTGAATAACTCTCGGTTAAATACGGAATTAAGTAATATACGATAAATAATTCAACATACTTAACTGTAAGTAAAATCATTAATGTGGTCGTCCAACTTTGTAAGTTTTGTAAAAATATTTCTTCAGATTGTTCAAAGGAAATTTTAATAAAACAAATTCCTGCCCATCTTGCTTTCATAACTTTAGAATGTAACAAAGAATTTACTCGAGTACACCATTTATGTAATACCATTTGTTCTTCTACATTACTTAAAAGCTGGTATTGTGTTATAGCTTCTAATATAAACGGTACATTTGTATCTACTGTATTATCATCTAATGCATAATTTGTAATTAATGTTGTTAAAAGTTTAGAAGATTCAATATTATTCATATTTAAAAATTTATTTTTTTTAGAACTTAAAATAGATGAAATAGATGAAAATTATCAAGAAAAAAAATTGTACAAGTCGACCGATAATGGCAGAATATTCTAGAAACTTTCCAAATAATTTATAACACCTCGGTCATGGAACAACAATGCTTCGTAATTATAGAATTATGATTATGAACTACAAATTCAATTTTACTTTGTGTGGCTTAATTTTATAATCGACTGTTATCCAATTATGAACTCTTTGAACATGGTGGAATTTATAAATTGTTTATAAATAAATCATATTAGCCAATTGAACGCCGAAATTTTTAAAAAAAACCTGTTCTTAGAGTTCCCCTTTACCCATTTCGCTTATTCCGCCCTTTGCGCTTCTCATTTCTTTCGGCCTTCATAGTCTTTTATAACAACAATAAAATAAAAAGGTGTCTATAAAATCGCTAGTTCAGTGGATTCTTTTTTACCGTTATATAAGTTCAAAGAACTTTTTTACTGTTTTTTTTTTAAAAAAAAAAAAACTCTCCATAAAGAACCTCACTCAACTTTAAAAAAAGTGAAATATATATATAAATATGAGTGATAATTCACCTTGCTTTCCCTTACCTAGTAGGACCTTCCACCAGCCAAATTTTCACCACCCTAATGGTAATTTTCGTCCTATAAGAACTGATGGTAGTCATCATTCTCAAGTTATGCAAAGGGCAATCATGAGAGAAAGGTTTCCGACTGCTGGTACGCTTGATGTAGTACAAAAAGGTATTTATGCAGTTCATTTAAGCGAAGTATTTTGATTATAATCCGAGTATTTGGTATTCTGACATTTCGTTATTTGTTTTGTTTATAGTCACAGGTAAACGAAAGCAGGGTTACGATTCTGATGATTCTATGAGTGATAATAAAAGTCCACCTAGTTCTCCCTATTTTATGGAGAAAGACTATGCTTCAGTCAAAAGAACAAAAATGATTGTCGAGGAAGATTTCCCTTTAAGTAAACTGTTAGGTAAATTGCACTCTTTTATTTATTCTTTCTTTAAGTTCAGCAAGTTCAACAAGTTCAGCAGCAAAGTCATTTCTAATCCTGGTTCTGCTCTCTCTCTTTTTTTTTTTTTTGAATAGCAACGCTCGATAAACCTCAATTATTGTCATTAATAAATAACCTTATCGATTCCCATCCAAACTTACAATCAGAAATCGCATCAAATATTCCTCGACCGACAATTCACTCTGTAACAAATGTATTAAATAGTATGGAAAAAAAATATCAAGATAGCTTCCCTTATACAAAATGGGGACAAAGTAAAGATGATTATAGCTTTAATAGAGTTAAACCTGCCATTATGGAGTTAAAGGGTGCTATTTTAGATTATGCTGCTCATTTTACTTCGACCGAAGAATTTCCTACTACAAAATTTTCTTTCCTTCACTTGGCTACCTCTATTACACAGCGATTGCCTGATTGGGACAATCATTTACATAATGAAATCAAACGTGATCTATACATTAAATTGTCTGAATGCTGGACGAAAACTATTGTTGATGCCGCTAGTAAAGTTAGCGAAGGAAAACTATATGGTCAAATGGTCGTTAGTGAATGGGCTAGAAAGTACGTCTTTTTTGCTTTGGTCATAATTTTTATGCTTTCAATATTTTTTAATAATTAATTGATTTTATTTATTTATTTATTTTTATAAAAATTAATAGTTTGGCACAACACAATCGAGAATCTAATGGTATGTTCCAACAAGCCGTTAATGAGTTTATTGATAAACTGGGATGGATTGCTGGTATTCAAGTTGGATCGAATTCTTTGATGTCAAATCATTCATACTCTTTATCAACTGGAAATAATGGAGGACATCATCAATATTCTGTGTTACCAGTCTAAAACCGAGTTCTTTTTTTGGCGATCTTAATCTATAGACCTCTGAACAAGAACCAATATGAAAGGACGTAAATAATACGTTGAAGATATTATTAATTAGAAAACAATAAAGATGTATATATATATATATATTATTATTATTATTATTTTGAGATATATATATATATGAAAAGAAAAAAAGAAAAAACATTAAAAATATGTATATTATTGAAATATGTAGATGAACGTTCCTAATTTCGAGTGAAGAATCGTTATCTTTTTGTTTTCTAAACCAGCTTTTTATGGTAGAATCTTTTTTTTTTTTGTCAAGAAAGATAAAAAAAATTATTTTATTCCTTTTTTTTTTTTTTTTGAAACAAATATATACATATTATCATTTACATTCTTTATAAGCTTTTAAAATTAAAGTGTATTTTTTATATAAAACATCGGCAAATAAACCCGTCCAAATTTAAAAATATATCTGTAAACAGAAGCTTCATGCTATTTATTTATGATCAATCGGGAAATTAAGCTTTAATTGGCATATGAAAGTTTAAACTTGATCGCTGTTTGACCTGACAATACATCTTTGGAAATATCATTAGACTGCCCTTTATGATTTTTATTTTTTAATTTTTTAATCATACAGATTTTGATAACATTTTATAGATTCGCGTTTAATCGATTCAAGTGAATGATCAACATCCGAGTTTAATAAAAATAGAAAATGGACATGAGATTACAAATTTTTACGATTACTCACGTGATTTTTAAGATTCATTAAATCGGTTGATTTTAGTATCAACATCGCTTATTCCTCTTAACATTAACATGGACGAACTTATTGCAGGCGCTGCACTTACCACCGTGACATTTGTAAGTAAAACTACTAATTTGCCTTGTCAACTTAACTAAACCTTTTACACTAAACAATGCGCACGTTATATATCCTAATAGGTTGGCAAAGCTGCGTTCTCTCATTCCATGAACTATGTTCTCGTGTGTATTTTATTTTTTTAACTTTTTAAAAGAAAAATAAAATTATCATTTAATTAACATATGTTATTTTAACTATATTAAGAGACAAGTCACGACCAGTATGACCAATAATGTGGCGAGTAGAGTTACGAGATACATGCGAAAGGAAGCCTCTTCCTCTACTTCCAGAGAGGAGGAAAGCAAAGTTATCTCTTCAATTGTTGCCAACGAAGATGAATTAAAGCGTGCTAAAGAGGTAAAATTTAAAAATGACCTATTCGGATTTATGAGTTTTGATAATAATCTTTAGCATTTTTTTTTTTTTGTTTTTCCTTCAATAACAGAGTTTGGGACTTAGCATTCGCATGATACTACCAGCAATCGATTTAATAGAAATCATTTCAGCACGTGGTAACACTACATTACAATCAACGGTTGAACATGCAAAGCAATTACAAAAAGAAATTTTATCAGTTGGAAAGAAACTTGACCCCAATTTGAATCAAGTTTCGGAAGGTTTATCCGTTCAACAAATCACTTTAGATAATGAAATTTTAATAAAAGAGATTGAGATACTTATACAAAAAATTGAAAGATTTGTCCCATATCTCAACCTTATAATGACTACAAGTGGTGCTAATTTAAATTGGAGTTTGCCAAATTCTGTTAGTCCATCACGATTTCTACAATCTTCTAATTTATTATCTGAAACAAATCGAAAATTTTCTATCAATAAGGATAAACAAATGCGTGTTGGATCTACACTTAAGCTGAAATTATATTACATGTTTACAGCTTCAGTGAGACCAAAATCTGTTAAAGACTTCACTTGGAAAGAAGAATTTACAAAATGTGATGCTAGTTTAAATAGAGTACGTGATGTTGAAAGAAAGAAAAAAAAGAAAAATAAAGAGTTCATTTATGAATTGGTTCTAATCGAAGATTTAAACGATGGAAGATATCATGAAGAATTTGATGCGGGAGATTTAAAGAAACAAAAAGAAACCAGAGCAAAGTTGGGTAAACCAAATGAAAGTATCCCAGGAAAAATTCTTCGTATCCCAGTGAGTGATATATCGCGTTTGTATTATACCTCGTCTGGAAGTTTGTTGAACATTGAAGAATCAAGGTCTCCGGTTTTAGTACTTAAAGTTATAAAAGGTTTATCTAGAACTCGAATGATTAAAGAAAATGCCGTAAATGCAAAGGATACAGACTCTAACCCTTTGTATGTACCACCGATTGCGGTTACGCCGGAGAAGCGTAAAAAGGAATCAAAGTATCAAGCGAACGCAGAATTTTATGCATTAGAATTATTTCAAGAATCAGAAAACATTCCAAATACTAGTGATCAAGAGGTTGATGATGAGGAGGAGGAAGAGGAAGAGGAAATCTTCAGTAGTGATGAAGAGGAGGAGGAGGAGGAGGATATTGAAGATTCGAAAGAGGATACATCATTAAAATATCCCGAAACTCCATCACCGAGGAAAATACCCTTGCCTTTAACCCCTAATGACTCAGCCTACCCCCCAACACCAACACCAAGAAGAGTACCTTTGCCACTAACTCCTACTCCTAGCGAGTCGGAATATCTTTCAACACCCTCGCCAAAAAGTCCTGTTAAATCGAAATCTACTTCGCGTAGAAAGATACTTATTGAAGATGATGAAGATTCAACTATAAGTGATGAATCAGAAAGTGAAGCAAAGAAAGAAAATGCGAAATTTGAGGTTTTTGATAATAATGTTACTGATACTATTATTCCTGAACCTTTATCTCCAAAGACTTCAAATATGCCAGAGATCAAGGATACCGAATCTGATGAGGAAATTCAGAGTAGTATAAATACTTTGAGCCTGTTAGAATTTCTCTTGCGTTTAAGTGCATTAGAAGTAAGTGAACAAACAAGTCACCTTGAAGTAACCGATGAGAAGCTCAACCTCTTTTTAAGAGATGAAGATTCATCTGGGGCTTCACTTGGTTCACAAACCCCAGAATCGACACCATCTAAATCAACTTCTCGTACTTCGGGTCCCCGTAGTACACCAGGCAAGTCATCTTCATTATCCTCATCTAGAAGAATATTATTTAAGGATGATATAAGGTTAAAAGAAGATCTTATGGACAGTCCGTTGACAAACAAAATGTCAAATTTGAAATTAAATGAATAAATTATGGTTATGTTTTCATTTGATTTTACTTTTTCCTTTGTGTATTATTAACAAAAAAAAAAAAAAATAAGACATTTGATTAGTGAATGACCTCATATTTGGGCGTTTTACATAGCTTCGCATTTTCTTATAATGTTCAAGTTAATAAATAATTGAAGAGGGACAGTTCTTAATTTCACGCAATTGAAACTTTAAATTCTTGAATTTTATAATTATAAATTTGATAAAATATTTATTGTTGAAATTGAAAATCACATTTTATTTCTTTTTTACAAAAAAAAAGACATCATGTCTAACAGTATTTACTAGCAAAATGTGATTTAAATAAAATTCGGTGATTTTATGTGATTTATTTTATAATATTTTGCCTTGGTCATAAAAAAGAATTATTGTAAAAAAATTACGCTCTATACTACAACTAGAAATCGGACAAACATTTGGTTGCTCTTTCTACCATTTCCTCAACAAGCTTCAAATTTAGTTAAGGAAAAATTATGCGGCATTCTGTGAATAATTGGAAATCATTGTAATTGTATAAAGATGAATTTAGCTTGTTGAATTCGTCATGATGAGACGCATTGAATGGTGGGAAATTCGTATCCCTAAGAGATGCGAGCTATGATTTCTACTGAATGATTAGGTTCATTTAGCTGTTTAAAGTATAAATCCTCCCCTAAAATATCAGATAAAACACTACTTCTTCAGCTTCTACAGATTTATCAGTGCTTTCTCAAGAGATTAAACAAGTTTCAACGAATAAGAATTTACTATCTCCTTCTATTACCACAAAAACTTGAGTACTTAAAAGACTTTCTTACCACCTGAAATGTGCTTGATAATTCCGTCTGTATCATCAAGCATAATTAACTTATCTGCGATTTTATTGGTTGAATTTTGTGATAATCATTTTTGAAATATCACATAATTATTAATTTTGATTGGTACAAAATTGATCGTCATAAAAATTACCAAAATAGAAAGGTTAGTTATCAGTAAAGTTTTATTTGCAAGAGAAAAATTTTTCTATTTATTTTTCTATTTAATGAATCTCGATATGTAAGGTAGGTGGATAGCAAAAAAATATATAAGTTTATCTAATTTTCACACATTCATCAGATCCCTCAGACATCAATATTAACACATCACTCCTTTTTATATCTTTCCTAAATGAAAATTTGATAAAGAAATGTATTAAAGATATTTCTTACCAGAATGAACTTATTAACTTATCTCAAAGCTACATCAATTTAAATATGCATATTTTTTATACTAATAGCTCTCTAATTCACCTATCTTTTGAAAATTATAGAATAGAACTAGGTTGGATCTGTCCATAACTTTCTCAAGCCCCTCATAGTTCCTTCAATGCAGTAGTAGTATTTTCTCTGTCGTTTACTAGAGCTGAATTATTTGCCCTTTTTCTGCTTTAATTATTTGTTTACAATGATCCTCGCTAATAATTTTTTTAGATAACCAAGCAGTGATTGATGGTTACAACAATTTTGTGTTAAATAAAACTTCTATGATAAAGACGTGTGAAAAGATTTTCAATTATACAGTCTAGTCCTTAGTTTACTTCATCATTAAAGAATTACAACTCAATGTTAAACTAAATAAAATTAAAGAATACTCAGGAGATTTATATAATGATATGGCTAACGCATTAGCTAAAGCAGAATGTTCTAGACCTCCTTTAATACTGGATTACATAGCCTTTGATGACATACAACTCCACTTGAAGTTTAATAATATCCCTATAGAATCTTTATCTAGAAAATTTTGAAAGGATCTTAATATCACTAAACAGTTCTCGATATTTTTAAATTTGAATAAAAACTCTTCTCTCCTTTTATTCACCTGCTCCTCTGATAT